CCCACCAATAACGTAGCTCCATTTTCTGCCTTTAAAAGCACACACAACCCACAATTCCTCTATTCGCTCCGACGAAGGGCTAACGCTCGAAACGTCAGCTTTTGTAATCATTACGGTGCCCAATTTACCATTTCAACTTTGTTGATATATCCAAATTATTTGATTTTAAACGTTATACAGCCGTTCCTTCCGGAAACTAATTTCATATAGCAAACAACTTTTAGTCCTTATGTATCACTGTCTCATCAACCGAGATTGACTGTTAATGATACCAGCCTGGAAGACACTGGATGATAATGTTACTTTGTTTTAGGGGGGTCACGTTGATGACGTCTCCTATCGAGTGAATACTCCCGAGAAGGACTGGACTCTGGATATAAAACGAAATAAGTATGTTACGTTTCATCATCCTACCAACTGCTGAAAGAGTTTGAAAATTTTGATTGATAACTTTTTAACGAGTGTGGCTTAGGATCTAATTTTTTTTTTTTACACGATGTAAATTCACCAAAGCTTTGACATAAACACTCGACCATTTTATTTTTGTTAGCATATTGGCTATATTCTTTATCCGGTAAAGAGACTTTGCGACAGAAGAATTTTGAACAAATTAATCTTGTTATCAAACTAGAATCAGGTCTGGGTATAAATTAAACTTTTGACAGACACACGAAAAAATATTGCAAACCACAAATGAAATATTAATGAGGAGTACAAACCGGTGAGTGTGGGTATGTTTTCTTCCCCTTCTTGATAAGGGCTGCAGAATCAAATGGTACATGGGATGCTTGTCTTTAAAAACTGCCAATATTTAGTTTATTGATTAATCTACTTTTCTACTTACTTTCTATGTTAAAGAGAAATTACCAATTATTTTTTTTTGCTTTGCCTATCTCACAGAGAACTTACTTCTCCATCATTTGCTGTTCGCACGTTTGCTAATGATGGCTCAGAAGTTATTCACGAGGTAATTTGTAGAGAAACTGTTTCAAAAGGTTAAATATTGTTTATCCGTATGAACATGCAATCAGAATTACTTTGGCACACCCATGTCAAACAAAATTACCACAGGAATACCACCAAGCCAAGCTAACTGGCAACCCAATGGGGAACATGATGACTGGTTCTTGAACAGTTTTAAACTGTCTTGCCGAAAATAGGCTGCCTCTGATTAAATGTTTGACATTGCTGAACTGTTGTGTGAATCAGGTACTACATAAGCGTAACATTACTAAGGTTTTTAGGTTTGCTCCCAAACCTGAGCTGGAATGGTTAGGAGGCCTGGCATAAAATTCAAATGAGCACCTCAAATGTGTTAAGCTGCGTTTTGTATGATGCATAATCACCGTGACGTCTTTCTTGCAATGGACAAATGTTTTTACAGGAGAATCGCGAGCGAATTAACCCATTTTCAAACTACTCGTGGCCTCATTTTTCAAAGCGAGTCCTGGTGCGCATCCTTTTATATGATACTGAATACGTTTTCTTTCACATGCAAATTAAACTCATCTTCATACGACTGGTTGAACACGGAGCCTCGTTTTGAAAAAGAGACCAAGAGCAATTCGGAAGTCGAAATGACATATTTATCTGCGTATATTAATTTTTTTTTCTGTTAGCGTGTATGTTGTCGGGTACTACACTCGTTAATCCGTTTCACCTTTTTATATTTTCTCGTCTTTTTTTTACTCCTTTCCAGGGTGTTTCTGATCATTGCCACTATCAAGGGTTCATCCGAGGCTTGGCAGATTCCACTGTTGTGTTAAACACTTGTTCGGGACTGAGGTACTAAAAAAAAAAAAAACCCTCATTCATGAAAAACAGTTCCAAACAGGTGCCTCGTTGAAAGCTCGGCTAGTATCGTGATTCATTATACCGTTATGTTTCCAAGGACCTAAAGTTTTCAATTTTCTGAACATTGAAATCCAAAATGTTGACACACTTTCCTTGTTTAAGTCTGCTAAATTGCGAACATTTCTCCTAAGTTGAATTCCTTCTTACTCTTCATTACTTTTCTCAAGCTGCTTAAGTATGTTTGTTTGAGCGCCCGCTGTTGTTTGTCGTTTGTTCTACGTGTCTGTGTTCTTCCCTTTTTAACCTAAAATATTTTGTAAATAAAAAAAAACTGATTCCTCACTTTTGTAAATTATGAGTAGCCTGTAGCCCGCATTAGCCTCATAGTTTCCCTACGAGTTTCCTCGCCACATGCTAGATCTTTAGTTATATTATATTAATGTATATGTAATTCCTTTTATTTCTACTGATGTATCATAAATTACAAAATGGCAAATAAACAAAAATTAATTAACAAAAATAAACTGATAAAATAAATTGAGAAATTCTCCTCAATTTCCACTAAAAGCTGCACGAGGGTATAAGTACAAAGGTAACCCATATTGAAGAACCCCACTATATTATACCGACACAAATTTCATAGTTTTAATCAACTAAGGTGTCAGTGCAACATATAAGGAAAGAGTAAAACAATTCTTTTGTTCTAAGGTTATGATAAACCGAACAAAATTTTAGGTTTGTACATGCAACCGGGCTGGGTCTCACCACACAACGGTTTTTTTCTTTTTTAATACTGCATTTTTAGCCACCAACTTTAACCTATTTAAGGGTCCAAAACAAAACAATTGGAGCCCTTTGGTTCGCCTTACCAATAAGATGACTACAAGAGACGTAGACAGGTATACAGGTATACACATGAAAAAGAAATTTTACCATTTATTTTCATAGGGGGCTCATAGATGATGGCAAAGATACATTTTATATTACACCTGAGTCTGGAAGAGAAGTAAGTCTTACTATGGAAGTCAGAGTTTGATCTAATGAAACATATGATTTTATATTGATTCCTCTTTATAACATCAGATTATTAGCCACGACCCCACTTAGTAATTATATGTCGTGACTGTTTTTCACTAAGGGAACTGGGGCCCACAGAGTGTTCCAAGCAAGGGAGGACAAAGCTAAACACATCCTGAATAACTGCGGTGAGGCAATTACCGGAACCAAATTCTACTTCGGAAAAAAAAGTTATACTCGCCTTCCCTGCAGATACAAGTTTGAGATTTGTATGGTTTGAATAGCGTTCTTGTTTGACAACACATGTTCTCACCCACTGTGTGCAGTGTTGATGAGTATGGACGGATGTTTTGCTCTAGCGATTTCAACATTAAAGTCGATGTGCTTTACGGTGCTCTATTGGTCAAGATTTGGCTCAGTCGTGAATGCAAAGACTCGGGCACACTCTAATAAAATAAAATAGCGTTTATATTTACTCTGAAGACTCTTAAGACCCGCAGTTCTTTTCTATAAATTTGTTTCTCGTACCAATTTCTGGTGGCGTTTTCTTTACTTCAGGAAACAAAGAGACTCATGCGGATTTGCATTACTTAGATGAAAAGTCAGGTGCAATTTCACGGGTAAAATTTTGATAACGATTTTTTCTTTTCTCATTTCCATTTCATACATCAAAGATCGTGTGGATGGGACGTAAGAGTGAGAGAGAAACGAAAACTGGAAACAGCCAAAAATATCGTGACGTTTTTTTTACGTTTTCATCTTAGATACGACGAAGCATATCGGGTCACATTGATGAATTCTACAAACCATTTATGACAACAGACGAGACACGATACAATGAACTGCTATTGGTTGTAGATTTTGGAATGGTAAGTAATATGATAAACTTTTAGATTCCTGATGATCTGATGTTCAATTTTTATCCCTAAGTCTCTTTTCTTCTCCACGCATTTATCAGATGAAAGAATTTAATATTACATTAACCGTTTGCATCTTGACGGTGTTTATATTGTCCATACACCGAATCGAAATATGGCGTCCAATTTTAACTGCCATTGTTCTGGACTTACTAGCCTCTCACACATGTTATAATCCTTGTGTGTTTTCCACGTGAAGACGAGGCTAGTAAGTCCACAACAATGGTAATTCAAATTGGACGCCATATTTGAATTCGGTGTATGCTGTTTCTCAGACTTTCTCTACGGTCCTGAGAGCTTACCTAGAGCTTCTTGAGCCGGTCATCATTTTCTTCATTCTCTTGACTTTTATCTTTGATCTGGAGAGATATCAATGTGTAGAGAAAATAGTTTTTGGTGTCGGTCAGGAAGTAGGAGGTTTATTAACATGATAACATCATCAGGCAAGCAAGTTAATTAGCTGGTCCATTACACACTACTATGGTCGGAAAAGAAGCTATTGGGAGTAAACACTCTTGAGATGAAAGATGTTTTTCCTATCTCAAATTCGTTTTGGTGCCTTGAAAATGTGGGATATTTTACAAAAAAGTCGCAGATACATTTCGATTTTATAACGAAAATTTACAATTAATTCATTCGGGGAGTAACAGGGCCAAATCCCGGTCTTGAAAGATTCCTGATTTTCCTATTGCTCTGTATTGATCAGGTTGAATACTTATCATGAGTCATTCTTCCTTTTAATTTTTCAGTATTTGAAACACAACAATGACACCAAAGTCATAACAGACCGCGTTATAACATTGACAAATGCTGTTGATGCCGTGAGTGATCAGTTTCAGATGTGTAATAAATATCGACTCTCTGAAAATACATTTATTAGCTCTGCGATAATTTAATAGAATGACTACGGTATCAACCGCTGGAACTCGTCGCCTTCTCCTCCCTTGATGTCACCATCTGGTCAATTGTAGTCCTAAAGACAACTGCTGTCAATAACCTTGATTGACATAGGCTGCAGCAGCCTGAACTATAAGTTAGAGGCATTTTCACATCTAGTTTCCAAGAAAGGTATCTCGTATATCATTCGATCAAAAAAAAATAATAATAAAGAAATCGCCTTTAGTTAAACCATCTACAATGTAATACATCTTACCCTGAATCGATATTCAAATTTTGGGATCTGAGTTTATCTTCCTAGTCCCCACGGTAGATTAGCAGCAAACGATTCAGTTCAGTGAAATGCCTATCATGACTTCCTTTATTATCCTTATTTAGATTTATCAGCGGATAAATATCAGGGTAGTACTAAAAGCATTGGAGATTTGGACGAATGGAGACCCTTTTGAGCGTCAAAATAAAGGAGGACCTGACCTTGGTCGTTTCACCTCGTATCGAAACGACCATTTAGTGAAAAAATTTCCTCATGAAAACGCACAGTTACTGAGGTAAGAAACTCTCACATGTTTATAAACTTAAGATTAAAGAGTTACAAAGTTGTAGTTACACAAAGTTCACATCATCCACTTTCCCTGCTTTTATCCTCTCCCCTCACCCCCCAGAGAGAAACTCAAAAGAGGTCTAGAATACCTCGATACCTCTTATAGATCACAAATTCTTCGGAAAAATCGACAAAGAAGAATCAGTGATAAACGATCAAAAAAGAGCCAAGTACTTTGCAAGCCCCAAATCGTTCAAGGATCATGAGTTTACTTGAATGCTGTACGAAACACACATGTTTGCTTGCTGCAAAAGTTCGGGCCAGTTTTAAAGGCGGGGGGGGGTGGGGTGAGAAAAATTTATCGTTAACCAGTGGCGAGGTTGCACAGAAACGCCTTCTCTTTTTTCGTTTCAGTGAGTGGCGTTGGTCTGACTGTATTGGCATGGCTTTCTTATTTGGGATGTGTGGCTCTGTATCAACTGGTGTTAATAATGTAAGTTAGAGAGATCGACTGATTGCAAAAATTGATAACAGCACTTCCTAAAAAGTATGGATGAAGGTCACGTGGGAACCACCTCCTCAACCCAATTGGCTGACATCTTAACGAAAACGATGCATGCGTATCCTTTTTTGTGTTTAAATCAAACGTGGTCAGATCCGGTACCATCTTAGGGATAAGTGTAAAATGGCACAAACCTCAAATCGAAGTTTCTAGGACAGACATTGTCCCAAATTGTTGCAAAAGATGTCAAAAATGCTTCTCTTGAACACTTTCACCCAAAATTTCAAAGCTTTTCATCCAAGATTACTCTCCCTAAAGCACTCTTGTTTGCTGATTTCACTGTTGGTTATTACCGCTAAACCCAGAGTGGTGGAATGTCTATCGCTAAGTTTGTTTGCCACAACCGTGACCAGACGATAGTTTCGTAAGGTATTCAAAACACTGAAACAAGCGCGTCAGATCCTCAAACTATTGGAAGTCTAAATTTTGGCATTATGTACGCATATATTATCATTTATGCAAACATCTCTATAAGGAAGTCAAATCTTAGGTTGACATATTCTTGACTGGTCTAGTGGGTACATTAGACATTGCTCATCTTATCATCTGATATGACTTGTTTAATTTACGTTCAATTTTCAAGTGGGATTATGGAAGCATCATTGGCCCTTACGTAGTACTGGCCCATGAAATGGGTCATAACTTTGGATTTAGCCATGACGAAGGTAAGAATGACGAGTTACTTAGTACTCCTTCTTAACGTAAAGGTGGACGAGATTTCGGTGTGGATCCCTCAGCAACTACAAACAAACCTCCTTGACTCTGCTAGTTCTGTGAATTATCTCCAGAAAATGAAAACTAAAGAATTTCTAATTTTTACTCGACTTTGTCTTTACATGTTTATTTGTTCGATTTCTAGTTCATTCATCTTTCTATGCTTTTATTCATTTTCAACACAAGGCCAAAAGTTTTATTCACACATTTCGTTGCTGATAAGGTTAACCTGTTGAGAGAAAAGATCGCCACTTGTTCTTTTAATCATTCTCCCTTCTTTTAATGATCTATAGTGCAATAATTTTCTTCTCAATAGTGCATATTTTTTTTGTTTGAGATCTCTTTCGCTCATATCTATTAGTGTGACCTTATTACTTAATAAAATAAAACTCTTTTCGCTCACTGTTGGGGACAATTTGCAGAGATATTTTCTGACGCGTAGTTGTAGAATAATATTAACGCTTCAATTACGATCATTTCATGATTGTTGACAACCTCGGGCCCGACAACCTCCAAGTACAAACATTTCCGCCACTTGTGACATTTGTGTTGTCTTGAATTATCTACGCCTACGGTAAAAACTGAACGAAAGAAAAAACTTGAATTAACAATTGATCGGGGTAGAAGGAAATTATAAACCTGTCAGTTACATTTTCTGTGCAATTAACGGTAGGGAAAAAACAAAACTGCAACAAGCATAGCATTTACGGTCCCCGACAAGAAAATACTCTTAAACCACAACTATGTGCTACTGAGCCACTTGACCTAATCAATACCAGTTCGCAACTCGTTCATTCGGCGGCTAGTCGGCCCAAACACTCACTTATTTATTATAATGAACTCTTTTCCCAGGAAGCTGCAAGTGTTTGACCCCAAGAGGATGTATCATGGGTGGTCATAAGTATGTGATTGTTGATAATATATATACAAATATATATAACTGCAGACAGGGCGTACACTGTTTCGACCTATGTGGGTCTCGTCAGTGCAGTGCAGACACTGGGCCAAGCTCTGGAATAAACCATTGCCTGAGCGCTACACTTGTGGGACCAAGTGCAGGCATCTTGCCATGCGAGAGTGCTCAAATCACAACTAAGGTGATGAGCTTCGCCCAAAGGCTAAGTGCATCGCAACCCCAGTGTAAAGTGCTCGATCGCAAGGCAGCCAAAATGCAAAGCCAAGCGAGAGCTATCTAACTGCAGACAGGGCGCACACTGTTTCGACCTATATATGTATACCTTGTAAATTAAGTTTCCCGGGAGACCCCGTCTCCGATCACGTAAATCACATCTTCGATTGCCGTGTTGCCAGCATGGTTGTCCTGATAGTGTAGTGGTCATCACACCTGACTAGTAACAGGTGGACGTGGGTTCAAATCCCGCTCAGGGCAAATTTTCTTTTCATACATTTATTCTATTTAGCCTCCAAAGTGAACATGTAAAGATGAAATAAACAATTTTTAAAAATCGTGTTTCCAGATGGGATTTTAACCCACTACCCTCCGTGATCTAGTCGGATGCTCTAACCACTGAGCTACAGGAGACTCTATGGTGAGCAAGGCTGATGTTTGGCTGTGTAGCCGCATGATGCGGTTCCAGTCAATACCCACTAATTGACACTTGCTCACCATAGAGTCTCCTGTAGCTCAGCGGTTAGAGCATCCGACTAGATCACGGAGGGTCGTGGGTTCAAATCCCATCTGGAAACTCGATTTTTAAAAATTATTCTATTTAAGTATGATTACTTGGGGTGTACAGGGTCAGGGTTTCCCTCGTATACAGAATTTTTTTAATTGAAATTAGCCTGTATCCGTAATTGGNATGTACAGATATTAGATTATGGTATATTGGCTCATATACCATGCTGGCTAAGCCAATAAAAAGTCTTGAATTGCATTATCCAATGATCCAGTTTTTAATAATACTGGTTAGCTATAGCGTCGTAAACTACAAAGTATCGGGTCACTTCTGAATGTAATCATTACATAGAAGCAAGTTTGCTTAATTTTTTTATTTGACTTTCTTGTTAAGTCTTATAACAGTTATTGTGGAAATGGAATTCGTGAAGAAGGAGAAGAATGTGACTGTGGCACTCCTGAGGTTTGTCGATCTTGTATTTACATTTAATATTTGCTTTCATTTTTCTAACGTTTTTGCCTGTTACCTTCTACGTGAAATAATAATAGTTATAAAAACAGAGATCAAAGAAAATATTTCTCAAACATAATTAAAGTGAAGTCAGGCCATTTGTTTTTTAGCCCTACGAATATTTCAATCACAGATGATATGACCGCGCACGCCCTAAAAATGGTTGAGAAATCTTGTTACAAAACTAGGTTACCGGTAATTTTTTCTGCTTTACATAATTAAAGAAACTAATGCTAGCGCTGTAGCTGATGGCTAATCCAATGTTGTTAGCCGTGATAGCTATAATTCTTTAATTTTCCAAACCGTCCAATTAACTATCCAAATTAATCCTTAATTGGACAGTTTTAAAAAAAAATCAAAGAATTATACTGCAGCTTGACTGAGCAATGTTCAATTACAATTGACAAGCTGTATAGTTAATAAATAAGAGGACTACATGCTTGTCAAAGTTTGGAAATAACTGGATCAAAAAAATTCCTCTGAGAGCCAAATTGGACTCAGCCCACGGCATCGTCTAATTTTGGCCGTCCTCAGAATTTTTTCATTCAGTTATTACCAAATTGAACAACATGTAGTCCTATTACATATAATTATCTAACATTTAAAACCTCATTGACCAAGCTTAACGTCAAGCCCTTCAGATTGTCTAGTTTATACTTTTGTTGCAGTTTTTATCATTCTGAAGGGGTCGAACAGAACCTATTTTGTTATGTTGTTTGATCGACAAACAACATAACAAAAGAATGAGAATGAGGCTCCGCGGCTGGCATTGCAATTGAAAGGAATGGAGAACTGAGACCTTGTAATCACTCAAGAATGATAATGAAATTTATAACTCGACTAGTCATAACACTGCATACCATGTTTTTTTTTTTAATTTAGGTACCTCAAAAGTTTTGAATTTGAAATAAAAAAGTTTTCCTTCGACGGTAGCAAAGACAAACCTTTTTGTGGGAATGAAAAAGTATCAATTAATCTCCTCAGATGTGTCGGGTCAAGGATCCCTGTTGAGAGCCTCACCACTGTGTTCTCAAAAAGGAATCACAGTGCAGCGACCTACACCATTCATGCTGCAAAGACTGTTTGGTAACGTAACGCAAATTCGTAATTAGTTTATTTCATTTGGGAAGCAGCTGTTTTTACTTTATTGTATTAAGAAGTCAATTGGTGGATTTGCACCGTAGATATCTCTGGGAACTTCCGAAGTGCGAAGATCGTTTGTTTAGAAACTTTAACTGTCTTCCCCTTTTGTGAACCGTTGCTCAGCTGATTTAAGAAATCTAATGATAGCGAGAAGGCAGAGCCGGAAACATCTTAAACAAAGATGAGAGAAAGTTTTGTATGAAACACGTCCGCAGAACCTTATGAAAACTTACACCCGAGCACGTGCCTTTCACCTGTCTGTTTCCATCGGGAAACTCGATAATGAATAAGACCAGGACAAGAAACTAAACATCAAAATTTTTCTGCATCGTCAGCTTTCAAGATTCAGTATAGCTTAAAGAACATATTAGTGCTTGAGACATTCTTTTCCAGAATTGGAGCAGATTTAAAATAGTGTTTAAGAATCTTGTTTACTTTTATTTCTGGTGGTAAGTGATCTGTAAGGCACTAGTTAAGAGATCTCCGAACCCGGATGTTAACTTGAGAATGAGGCCCGCATACTAAGCCACAATTTCGCAACATATTGTAGTTTCGTTGTGCTCTGAGGGACTATTCTCTTTGCGACACTTGGAAAAGCAAACGTAAAGAAGAAATTTAAAGAAAGAAAAAGGATAAGAGTGCCACATCAAGTTAAGGGCGTGAATGTACACGTAATAGTCTGTCAATCTGTAACCTTTTTAGTATAAGAAACAAGGATCGTTGTGTCGTGGAGTCAAAACGGATTGTGATGTTCCGGAATACTGCACTGGCAATTCTCGGGATGTAAGTATAACTCTAACAAATGAATTCAGCATGAACTTTCTAACACCAAAATAGCTGTTTCATTAATAAGATGCTAAGAAAGGGAAATCCAGATTGTCACCGAAAAAGGCAATTTTTTTAATGTCTTTCATTCAATATCTGTTATATTTGCAGTGTCCGGAGGATTCATATATAATTGATGGATATCCATGCAATCAGACTAAGACAGTGAGTGAGCCAAATTACGTACCTTTCAATAAAGAGCTTAACATTTAAAGTAGTATTTTTAATCTGCATCGGTTGATTTCTAAATTACACTGACCTTGAGAGAGGCGAGAGATGGAGAACAGAGTTACAATAACATGTTACTGCCTTTTCCAAAGTAAGCTCTTTGATAGAATTGAGCTTAACTTCAAGCACATTTAAGTTGTATAGTTTTGTTATTTATATCCCTGCTCTACTTTCAGTTCTGCAAAGAGTAGTTGATGAGAATATGTCATAATCATATAATTTGAACAGCGCTCTTCTTTAGGACATTCCCGTTGTGACAACTAGGAGAGGTATATGTTCGTGATAGCTACACGACTTTTTTTTCAAAATCATCGTTTCCCCTTTCACTTTTTTCAGTCTTGATTCATATTGAACAAAATCTTTTGCAGTGCTCTTCATGACAGCACTGCATCGTCTTGCAAACATCATTTACTAATGTAAGCGAGTAATGGTGGTGGATAATAACTACATGAAATCACTAATTCAAATTAACTAATTTGAATTTTTATGAAGACTGTACAAGGAAACACCAACTTTCATAGCGTAAACCACCGAACCCTGAATCCAAGGGTACACGCTCGATATCTTCGTATCAATCCTCAGTACTGGTATGGTTGGCCTTGTCTAAGAACTGAGTTTCTGGGTTGTTCAGCGGGTGAAGGTAAAATTCATGTTATTTTTAAAACAGAGCAATAGTTTCAACTTGATTTCTGGTCAAATTTGACAGCGCTTTAAAGTTGATTAAATTTAAATTGTTTGTTTCTGACTTTGTTTTAATTTCGGAGAAAAACTTGGTTCTGAACTCTTCGTTCCTCGTGGCAATTTGTTTTGAAAAATAATCAGGACGTAAGAAAAAAAATTGAGTAAAAAGGCAACACATGGCTCCATAAATATTATTATTATTAAAGGAAAAAGGCTTTCTTTTTATCTAGTTGCAGGAAGAACTTTTCTAACAAAAGAGTGGGAAAATATAGTACTCACAGAACAAACCATTGGAAAAATGAAGAGCTAAATTGAGACTTTTAACAAAAGTCACTACAAGAAATTTGTAACTCTGAAACAATTTCTGAAATTTTGATTAAAACACTGAGTCATTCTTAGTTTAAGAAATTGAGACAGTAACAGAAAGTGTAGTTAAAGGAATTCCTTGGATCATGCTAATTTTGTCGTTAACGATGGTGGCACGCAGCTATTCAGGCAGCTATTTCGGGTGAAATCCACTTGTACTGCATTTTGATTTATGTTAACGTTGTAAAAATCTTAGTATAGTTTAGTTTAAAGTTGATTTGTTTGCTCTCCACAGTCAGTCCAACTGCACCAACTCCACTTAAGTCCTACGGTCTTGATCTTTGCCTCACTCCAACAAACCAGTCTTGTTCACCAAATGACAACGATCGCCTAATATACAGACCTGGAGAGTGCTCAGAAAGCCATTTCCAATTTACACTTGCTGCGGACGGGGTTTTACGTCATAGTTGCAGTGGGAAAATGGTGTGTCCTGAGAATGGTGGCACTGGTAATGGTGCGAAGATTGTTGTCAGCAGTACTTGCAAAACTGAAGACTCGAAATTTGAGCGGACATCAGGTTTGATATAGTTTGGTTCCTTGACAACGCTACTGTTTTACACCTGACTTGCTCGTGTTCATATTACATTCTCCAAATTTTAGAAAAAGATAAATGGAAATTGGCTAGGCATTTGTTTTCTCAATGATGAAAAAAGCTTTAGACTTTTGCAAGTAAGTGTATTAAATATTTCTTCGACAGCGCGATCTCTTAAGCATCTTAAAACCGGGAAATGCGTCCATACTAATGGGGCTTGGCCTGGCGTAGACAGACACATGGTATTGTGGTCGGGATGTGATGAAAAACGGCTGGAACTATGGTTTGCAAAGCAAGGTAATTTATGTTGCTGAAGCATACAGCTGCACAGTCTGTAGGATCCGTGTTCAACTTGTAGTTACGAATGATTTTAGTGCAGTATGTATACTTTGTTAACTGAAAGACTTTTGACCAAAATCAGATTTAACAACAAGCAAGCAGCTTGGGGAGCTTAAATGACCAAATGCTCAACTTTTCTTACCGTAAACTTCTAAGAAGGGCATAAGCCTACTTGAATCACAAGCAACAAAGCGTGTCGGACAAAGCATACTAGCTAGTGAAAATACTGCACACGGCATAATACGTCTGTTAGTTAAGCTTGTGTACAAGCTTGCATAATATAGCGAGCTCCATTCAAGGAAACTCATGTATACATGGCAAAAGCCTTTCCTAATTAAGGTCAGGGACCATTCGTTTACTACAAACGTTGGTTATAGTTGAGCGACACTCGACCGAAACGCGCTCAATCATCAATAGCAAGTATATCATTCGAGAAATGATTTATCCCTTATTCATAGAATGTGTAGACCCTCTTGGAATGCAGAGCGGCGATATCAAAGACAATCAGATCACTGCGTCTTCATCCAGACCGGCAGATCTCCCACACTATGGTAGATTGCATAACAAAAAGTACTGGTGTGCCAAGGAAAAAAACAAAAACGAGTACATACAGGTGGATCTTGGACAGGTATCTCTAATTTCTAATCTATTTGATCATGAGCCTTCTGTACAAAGTGCTTCAGTGAAGACCTTCAGTCACGTTACTATATCAAAAAATAAAAAACCTTGGCCTTATTTCTTTGTCATGCCTTAGTACTCACTTCTCTTCTTCCTTTTATCTTTTCACGTATTATTTCTTCCCATCGATTTTTTTGTTTCTTTCTTAAATTTGGCGAAAGTGTGCTGTAAAAAAATGGTGAAATATCGCCACGCATCTTTTAAAGAAGAAAAGCTGAAGATAAAAGAAAACACGAGAGAAAAAGCCGAGGAAGAGAGCTTAGGTTTCACAGTCTCGATGTGTTTGAGTTTGCGAGTTATTTCTGTAAAGTTGAAAGTCGAAAACGAGTTATTAATGACCGATGTCCACCTTAAGTATTTCTGAGTTAAAAGAACTCAATTTTCAGTATTATGCTTCTAGTTTTTTTGCTGATTTCGCATTTTTAGGAACGAACGGTGAACAGCATCTTGATACAGGGACGTGGAAACTGGTACGACTGGGTGACTGGCTTCTTCTTGTTCTACAGTGATGATGGTCAGCGGTGGACTGGTTATTCAGAGAGTGGAGACAAACAACACTCCAATGTATGGGAAATACTTTAAATTGTTCTTTTAAAGGCGACGTTACGCAATTAAGTTCTCATTTAGATTTCTCTTTGTCTTAAAACTGATTCAGTAAGGAGCTCGAGGATATTCACTTGTGGTCGAACCAAAGATAAGGGAGATAATATTTTTATTATAAGGAATCCTTTCCCGGCATTTTTATTCCAAAAACGTCATTTTCAAGTTTAATTGCGATAGAAGATAGCGAACATATGCACCAGTCAGGAAAATCTTTTTAAAGCCACTGAATAAACAATTTTGTCGTTTTAGTCCAATTGCTACCGAGGAAAATGCAGCGAAATTCACGAAACTCAGTGCAAGGACTTATGGGGAGCGAGTAAGTTTAAATACGCGTGTTTTTKTTTTTTTTTTTTTTTTGTTCTTTCACTGATTTACAATCGAACTGCATCAGATCAACGCCTGAAAGCGATTATCCTTTAGACAGTTGAATCTTTTAGTATGTAGATACTTAGTTACTTAAATTTGTTGATTCTAGGCTCGCGAGAAAGATGTTTACCTTCTCAGATCTGAGCTTCTAATACTTAATTGTAAACCCAATTCTTCCAATTTTGTAGCCGCCAAAAACGCCGACCTTGGATGTTATGACAAACTGAACACTGAAGCTGCTGGATATGGTACATGTGATCCAGTTACAAATTCATCATGCAATGCAAGGTACAAGCCCACGGTACAAATTTGGGAAGATTAAGCACCCAGCCATGATTAATTTTTCTTCTAAAAAGAGTAATATTTTGTACAGGGACGCTTGGGAAACAGTGGTCTTAAAATAAGTCGGTTTCAGCAAGTCTCAAGGTAGTCACTTTGGATGTGGCTTGCGACATTTCCACTGCATATTGTTGATCTTCTCTAAACGATAAGGTTGATTGAGTACGTGTCAACTTATAAACTGTTTTCCTCAGCTGTAATCGGTTGGAATGCGACAGCTGTGATCTACGCCTTTTGTCAAACGGTTCTTTCAGCGGTCCGCGGTCGTACGACTTTCCTGCCATTATGTATCTTAATCGTTGGCATCTATGCTCTGGGATTTCTATTTCACAGTCGGTTTTGATGTTGTTAGAGTGAAGTCCTACGTAAAAGGAAGTTTATTTGGCCAATTGCACAAAATACAGGTTTTCTTCTTCATTAACAGCCAGAAATAGAATGACGAAACATATGCCTTAAAATGCCTTAAACACTCTGATGTTAAGAGACTTATCTGGATCTCGAGGCATTTTACGTATGCAAACATTTCAAACTTCATAATACCTACACAGTCCTAAATCTCTTCTCTCTTGTATTTGAAAGCGTGGTTTTCGTAGCGACCGCTGGTACACGATTTGCCAACAATATAACGAATGTCGTCAATGTTACTATGTTTCCTTGAATTTATTTCTTAGTGACGTTTTGTGCGGCCAACTGCAATGTGAAGACAGCAGAGATACACCTGTTGTGGACTACGGGTGGACGTACACTAAGATCAGTTTGGATAATGGGAAGCAATGCAGGTATTACAGTCTCTTCTACAAAAAAAGTACGAATATATTCTTTAAATCTTTTCAGACTGAGAATAAACTCACGCGAGTCTCTCTTGGAGAATGTGAAAGGTAGCCAAGAAGACGTTGAGAAACGTGTTTCTCGGGAAACCAAACCTAATTGTCTGAAAGCAATGAGTGTATTGAAAAGGTGGTACTTTGAATCAAGCAGGATTAGTGAATATTTTCGCTCACGGTTGGAACCACGTTGGGCCGTTGTGGTTTGTTTGCAGCTGAACCCCAGATGCACCCCCCTTCCACCCTAGGACTTATGGGAAAATCAAATTAAACGCGGCTGATGTGGGTGGTGGTGATTGTAACGAGACAGGGGGGAGTTATATGCAGTGGACCATTATCCCCACCCACCAGGAGGCAGTGTTGCCTAATAATTTTTGCTCCATATTTTTCAATACTTCAAAGGAATAAATTCTGATTGCTATGGCTGATAATTATAGTAAAGAAGTGAAGGTTTGATTGCGATAAAAGAGTCATATTTGAAATGAAATGAACCCGGCGTCGGAAAATATAACCACCCTAATACGTTCTTCCTTCATAGTGCTGCAACTTTAAAATCTATAGATGACCTTGGTGAAGGAATGGTTAGAGAAGGGACAAAATGTGGAGATGATAAGGTAACACTGAAAAAGTAACTCTTTCAATCCCAGGAATGGCCTCTGAGCAGACTCTTGTTGTGATAAGAATACGCTGTTGGTTGAGAAGAATGGGAATGAGGAGATTAATTAAGGAACATTTTTGATTTCAACGCCAATTTTTTAATGAGTCGTACAAAAATGTTTGGCAGGCAATAGAGAAAATTTCTTTGGAGGTCTGATAAGCATAAGGTTTTATTTAGCTACTATTACGGGGAGTAGAGGATACTTCCACGAGTTTCCTTCTAAGTTTTTAAAACAATTGCAATAACGTATTTTTTTCGCACACTTGAAACCAATGATCTCTTCAGGCCGTTTACGCCACGAATGATACAGGAAACGTTGAATCATAAGATAGAATAACAGTACTTTACAAGCCCAACTTTTATGAAGAAAATACCTCGCAAACATTATTGTTTTATTTTTTCGGAGTAAATGACAGAAAGAATTTTGTTGAATTTTGCATTTTGTTGCAGATGTGTATAAGTTACAGGTGTCAGTCATTTGATTCCCTAAACATTGGCAAGTGTCCAGTGGCAAACAACAAGGAGTGTGGTGGAAGAGGGGTAGGTTGATAATTAAATAGTTTATTATTAACTCATTGATTCATTAATCAATTCGATAATTACTAAGGTCACACTTTTCAGATCCATGGCACCCGAGTTGACCTCCCAAATCTTTTACAATACTTGTAACTTTTTATTTATTTGTTATTCAACAGTATTTTTCTGCTCTAGTGATCGTTTCATTCGTTGAAGTCTAATTTTCTCGAAAGTGATCCTGTACTATATGGCGACCTGTGTCCATATTTTTTTCTATTTCGTCTGTCGTTGCATTTGCAAATACAATTTTCATTCCACCACACCTCCTTTCTTCCGTAAGCTTTTTCATTCAATGATATTGACGTCTTTATTATAAGTGCCATCAAGTTATTTATAAAGTTAAACATGAGATAACACTGTTTTGGTTTCCTCGTCGACACAAAATTGTCATGATAAAATTTTTCGTTAGAATGTTTCTAACTTATCGCTCTGTGTATAGGTCTGCACCAACAAAAAGCTGTGTCATTGTGTGGGAGGATTTGATTCTAAAGACGGTTGCGCATCGGGTGAGAAATACTTACAAAATTCAGGAAAATAAGTGAGCTACTTCACGAAAAATTGTTTTTCGTTAGGATTCAACGATTTAAAGAAAAGTCGTAAATGAAGGTTGCTAATGGCATCTTTGTGAAGAGGAAGTCTTATCTTCTATCATAAATTTTATTACTTTCATTAATAGTATTACTATCATCAATGTAAATTTCATTGTTAGTTATTCTCTCCTCATTTCTTAATTTTTCATTGTTTGTTTTATAGTGCGGGACTAAGTAAATTCCAAGTATTTCCCATAATTATGACACTGATTCACAGCGATATAGATACCATTCCTTTCTTGTTTTGCATGTTAGGATAGCAATTTGTTTTATCGCCCCTTTTGCAGTCTTTATGAGTAGGCACACTTGAGAAGAATCAAAGACTCTTTTGACTTGCAATAAGAGCAATCCTGAGAGCACGCTTAAAAATGGAAAAAGTGTAGTCAGAAGATGTCATGCGTTTTATGAAAATTGGGTGCCTCTGACTGTTGTTATTTCTGAAACAGACGTTTCGGCTAATGCTTAAGCCTTCATCAGTGATATGAAAAACGAAGATCGTTATCATACGCTATTTAAAGTTAAAACGTGACGCGAAGCTTGCGCGCATAACTATGTATTTGATGCTCGCGCGAGGTCTTTATAGGCTTCTGGAAGTACGATGTGATAGTTCCCAGCATTCGGATCCAAAGTAGAGTGCCAGGCTTCAAGGAAAAGTCCTTCGTGGTAATTAGATTCGAAACCAACGACCCTGACGTTTGTAAAGTCCATGTTATGGTCGAAAAGGTGGACCTAGCTTGCGACTTTGGAGTTTAAGTCAAAACCTGCAACTGCCTTTTTGTGCTCGGCAATTCTGGTCTTTAATGACCTTTCTGTTTCGCCATAGTACTTAAAATAACACTGTGTGCAATTGATTTTGTACACCATACCTGACTTCTGGCGGTCAGGTTCGTCTCGCTCCTTCGAGCGTGGAAAAAGCTGTTGATTGTTTGTTGTGCTTTAAAGGCTACTTTGACCTTTTGTTGTTTCAATATGCGACTTATTTTCTTGGAAACACCCTGTACATACGGAAGCACTACAAAGTCATTGAAGTTGGTCTGGGCGGGTTGTTTAAATAACACTCTCTCAAAGTTCCGTATAAAAGTCATTGGATAATTGTTATCTCGCAGAACGGCCTTTACTCGTTGTATTTCTTCCCGTCTAACTTTATTGGTAGATGGAATGTTGTTTGCTCTTTTCAGTAACGTGTTAACAACGGATCTTTTATGGCACATAGGATGACAGGAAAAGAAATCGAGATAACCGTCGGTATGTGTCGGTTTTCTGTAAACATCCACATGAATTTTTGTGCCGCGTCTACTTGTTACGGAGTCTAAAAAAGGCAAGCCTTGTCCGTTGGGGTTTTCTAATTCCAAAGTACTGTATGTTCTGGTTAATTGAATTCAAATGTTTGTGGAATTTGTCGAGTTGATCCTTTTTTATACAAGAGTGACTATCGTCAACATACCTAAACCACCATTTGGGAGGGTACGGGAACGTGGAGATCGCCGTTTCCTCAATTTCTTCCATAACCAGGTCGGCTAAAACAGGACTAATGAGAGAACCCATGGCGCATCCAAAAATCTGTTTGTAGTGGTCGCCATCATATTTCAAATAATTGTGGTTGAGGACAAATTCTAAAAGTCTCAAAATGTTGTCAACAGAAAGATTGGTACGTTCTGCTAGATTCTGGTCTCGTTGTAGTCTCTCTTTGGTTATTGTGAGAACTAAGTCCACTGGTATGGAGGTGAACAGGGACTTCACATCGAAGGAGACCATGACTTCATCGCAGGAGATGGAAAGCTGTTTTATTTGTTGCGTGAAAACGGAACTGTTTTCGACTGTGTAGGTTTTCTTTCTCAAAGGTGACAGGACTGAAACCAGATATTTGGAGGCCGCATAAGTCGGGCTACCGATACTGCTAGTGATGGGTCGCAATGGCCTTCCAGGTTTGTGAATTTTCGGAAGACCGTAAAAAGATGCTGGCGTTGAATTACCGCAGTCTAGTTTTCTGTATAAATTTGGGCCAATTTGCGGTGCTGTGCCGTTATTCTAGTTTTTGATAGTAAGTATGATTTTGTTAAGATCTTTTTCAACACTTGTTGTGGGGTCCAATCTCTTATCCGTTAATTTCAGGTAGACGCCGTAAGAAGTAGACACGGCACAAAAATTCATGTGGATGTTTACAGAAAACCGACACATACCGACAGTTATCTCGATATCTTTTCCTGTCATCCTATGTGCCATAAAAGATCCGTTGTTAACACATTGCTAAACATTTGAGTGATGTGAGCCCCAGTTGTAATGTTTGTTTTAAATTGACCCATTCCAGCGCTAGTACCTCGAGAGGGAGCCTGGGGTGAGTGGTCCTCATGGACTGTGTGTGACAAGGGCTGTGACAGTGGGAAGAGAAGAAGGCATCGGTTCTGCGACAATCCCTTCCCTCTACATGGTGGAGCTGACTGCCTCGGAGAAAGACACGAGACGGATGATTGTAACACACAGAGTTGTCCAGGTGACTTAAAAATCTACAGAGATACACATTTTAAAGATTCATTTTATTCTGGTTTGTCTCTCTACTTTGATTTTACTTAACTCTGTGAGTCTTAACAACTAAGTATTGAATTTTGCGTCGCAAGTTTGTCTCGGCGACGTGTGTTCAATTTTCCACTTTCTTTGCAAAAGGAATGAGGAAATAAAATCATTTCACAAGCCAGTGTTGTATTAAAGAAAGCTCCTGAAAACAATTGTAAATATTTAGGGGAGATTTAACTTTTACAATTCCCGGGGGAAGGGGGTGAAGGACAGAGGGAGAGTTTTGTTAGATGCAAAAAAAAGAGATTATCTCTTATGTATAGCAGTATGCCTTCTTTAAGATAAAGAGTGAAGTCGATCATCTTGACTACATAGATGAGGTCATGAACTTGCATTTAGTTTATAAAAATTGATTTTATCCGCTGTTTTACTTGTTCCTTAATCGGTGTAGAAAACGATAATAAAGCCCGTAAGAGAACATCTCTTTTTAAAGGAGTCCTTCAGTAAGCTATTTCACTGGCAGCAGTTTCACTGTCATCGATATTATTGTACTTTTCTATTCTTTATATAAATTCAGTCAAAAGCGACGAAGGGAAAAGAAACTCTTCTGGTGACACCATTCTGCTCAATTTTCGATGTTATTTTTTGTTATCTAGTTGTGATTTCCTGCCACCACTTACGTCAGGTTGGGGACGAACAGAATCATTTATATCCCGATGGCGTCTACAAGATTTACCCCACAGGTTCCCAGCCAATTATGGCGTACTGTGATATGTCACGTGACGGTGGAGGATGGACACTATTGGTTACCAGTCATACTAACACCTGGACGACACAGAATCTTAAATTACGAAACGCAAACTCTCCAAAAGTGACCGATGATTACTCCATCCTGCAGTTTGCAGACAGTATTAAGGACAATATCAACGTGGCTGGTTCTACGTTTGAATATCGATTGGAGGCTCAAAGCCGAGGTAATTCAATGTTGTCAAGGTACCTTGATTCTTGTCGTGCGGGACAGGACAGGGTGGATGAAGAGTGAACTTCAGTAGGCGTAATGATGAAGCATGATCTGCGATAAGGTTCAGCAGCCATGCTGTCTACAAAAAGATCGCTAATTCAATTACCAATTTGGAAAAAAATGATAAGTAGGAGAATGTGCAAGCAAGCATATGACGCTTTCATAGCATATCACTCCTACCCATTTATGTATAGAATTAAGCGACTCATGTAGGAACACGTTCGTCTTGGCCGCCATTATGAATGATGCCACATCCCAAAATTTCCGTCATCCAAAATTTGTAACTTTTTTTATAAGAGCTCATCCACCAACCCTTTCCTCCCATTTTGCGCACCGAGGCTTTTAAAGGTGCATGGCTTTTGTTTCCAAGAGAGGAAAAGGCTGCGCATTAATTAAGTCTTGTCGAAAAGACTAAGAAACACTTCTGTCAAAGGTAAAACTCAAGTTTTGTTCGGTGCATACTTTACACACCTTTATCTTTTCTCTTGTAGGTCGCTGGGGAGGTATCTGGGAGGCTCCTAGAGGTTTTACGTTCACAGCTAACAACAACAAACAGACGAATGTTGAGCTAGTTAAGAAGTTTGACAATTGGGAATATTCAGACAGTGGGATTGAACAAAGAATGCCATGGATTTCTGATGCCAGGTTAACAACATCCCATCATGCTTATCGAAGCTGGTGGGGGACAATAACAGGTGACGATCCGTCGGCATACAAGGGATAACACTCTCGGTACCCTATAAAAACTACAACAGATTTTCTTTTAGGCAAACTCCACATTCGAGATGATCACGAAAAGGACGGGGAAAGCTGATTCAATAACCTCTTTTTCACAGTTTTTCGAAAAGAATACTGAAATACCCTCCCTAGCCACATGTATCCGCAATGAAATCCTAACTGAAATTTGCTACACTGTCTTTCGAGTCACTACCTGGAATCGAAACATACCATTTTTCGGATCGAGAAGGGTGTCGAAGGTAGGAAATATCTTACCACTAGATCCAATCAATACTTTCATGTTGGAACTAAATGCTCAAACTAGACTGATTTGTTTTTCAAGCGGACGCTAAAGAATACCACCCCGCGCCTTGGATCGCTGGTCACCTTATGGAGCGTCAGCCGTCATATATCTGGTACTGGATGAGAGAGGGCCCTTATAAAATACCTGGTTCCTGTAAAGAAGTATTTTTCAGAGGATTGCTGACTAACCCCGTCTCAGGTAAGTTTGGGTACGAATTATAGAGCTGAGTTATTAGGAATCCAGGATTGTAATGGTTTCCTCTTTACTTCGGTCTGTAACTGTTCAAAACAAATCACGCCAACTTCTCAAGAAATAAAATATAAATACGAAATAACAGCGTTACTCGAATTTAACTTGTTCAACACCATTATAAAGAAGTCATTTTTAAATCTCATTCGTTTTGACGGTTTTTTTCGTTCTTGTTGACTTTTTTATATACATATCTGGATATTATTAAGTAATTTTTTTTAGCTGTAGCTACTTTTAACTTATTATTACCTACATGAGCTCAAGGCTCAAGAAAAGAATAGCTTCAACTGCTGATCGATTCTCGGTATGGATAAAGAATTACTTACCTACTTACTTCCTTCCTTTTTATTGTGCTATGTACATCTTATCGGTCAAATCGATCACACCTTATTTATCTAAGGCCCTGTTTACAAGCAAGGAGGGTAACCCTTGTGCTAGGGTTACCCTAGCAGGCGGGTCAAAGATAGCCCGGGTTTACAAGCAAAATTTCACAGATAGGGTTACCCTACCACCCGGGACAACTTACCTATGCTTGGTAACTGCACGCATTGTTATCAATGTTCAAAGGGTCTGGAAACAAGTAAAGAGTTGTCCCGGGTAGGCGAGTTATCCCCACCAGAGCGTTTACAAGGCAGCTAGGGTTACCCTAGCGCTCAGCTAGGGTTACCTTAGTGCTAGGGTAACCCTAGCTGCCTTGTAAACACGTCGATGAAAAAAAGAAGAAATGTGGGAGCGTTAGGGTAACCCTCCTGCCAGGGTAACCCTAGCACCAGGGTTACCCTACCTGCTTGTAAACAGGGCCTAAATTCCACATGCAGAGCTAAGTGCTACCGTGATTTCGCGTGATTTTTTCTTTCAGATGGAGTTTTCACAATTAGACCTCCTGGACAGCATGAAGTTAAAACAGTTTGTGACTTTACGACCGAAGGAGGGCCCTGGACACTACTTGTGACAAGCAAGACCCACAGTGGGTGGGACAAAGACAATGTCAAAGAAAGAAACTCAGACAATCCTTCTTTACAAGATGACTATTCCATACTGGGGCTTGCAGACGCCATTAAGGACTTTGATAAAGCTCAGGTGAGTCCATCGCAAATAGAAACATATAGTTTGACTTCTGAGTGGCTGTGGGGTGATTCAAAATCAATACTTAGTAATTCGTAGAAGAAACGTTTACGAGTCGATGCCCTAAAAAAATCACCCAACTGCTTTGCCCCTCAATTCTCAATTGATTATTGAATTACCTTGGGTTTCTTTTTCACTGTGTCTTGTGATTTGTCCATTAATTTCGCGCGACCATCTCACTCAATGAGATGCAAAACCCTGACTAGTCACCACTTAGATAGTTTCCCTGCCGTATCATAAGATCATAGAGCGGCAATATTTTCGATTGCATCTTCCATAAATCGTTGTGTTTCTTCCACTTTGTATTCATGCAGGAATTCTTTCACTACCGAATTGAGGCAGACAGCAAAAACCGCTGGGGAGGGATCTGGGAGGCACCACGTGACTACACATTCCTGTCCACCTGCGACAAACAAACCAAAGTGAAACTCGTAAAGAAGTTCGATTCGTGGGACGAGAACAGCAACTTAGGAAAGCGCATGCCCAGACTGGGACTATCTAATAATCTGTTATTAGCCAGTGCCTCTACTGTGGACGAACCGTCGGGATCCTTGGTGCATAACAGTGGAGCCAGCTCCGCCTCGTATCTGGAGCAGGAGAAACCAAACCCGAGTGTTGTGAGATACTGGATGAGAGAGGGGGCGAGGTGAAGCTTTGTGTACACAATGTCAGTGTAGACATCTAATATAGATAGACAGATAATTTTTTTTCCTGTAAGATATAAACTCATAGTGGTACTTTGACTTTTCTTGAAAATTACTCTTAGCAATTACGCTTGTCGAAGAAAAATCCGACTTGTCGTCGTAATCAAAGACAGAAAGAATAAGAAAGATCTTGAAGTTTTCTCCGACTTCTAGTTTAAAAACATGCAAAAAAAAAAACAAAAACAAAAACAAAAATACAACGGTAGACAAAGGGATTTGTATTTTCACCTTGACCGTTATTGAAAACTTTTGAAAGCAATTGTCTATAAAATACCATTTTTTTCAAAATATCAGTACATTTGTCGTATTCATCATCAACTACAATAATCGAGAGTCATTTTTTTGTGAACAGGTTATCTTGTAACGATTTGAAATTACACGGAGTGAGAGCTGGTAACAAGTACGACGAGGATAGTTTCCAACTGATGAAAGTCAGTGACGCCCAGTATCTCCCGGTCTACTGTGATATGACAACAGCTAAAGGAGCTTTCACTCTTATAGTGACAAGTGCTCACAACAACTGGACTAGGGAACAAGTCCCTCGCAGGTAATGATGTTTAATACTTACGCTCTTTTAACCAATCAGATACAAAGTTACTTGTGTAATGCGTTGGAGGTCATTTAAGGCTCTTGGATCGCTATAGACAGTAAAATGGTAATAATGACAACTACAACAATAATAATTATAATAATAACATTAATAATAATAACAATAATGATAATTCGAATATACGCACGCTGGTTGGCTGGTTTGGAAGTGACTTGCAAGTACTAGTAATTCACCTTCAAGCAGCCAAAGAGACAAAATTCCGCGTCAACTATATAACTTCCGACCATTTTTGGTATATTGACTGAAATAAACTATTTTTTTTTGGTTGGACTCAAATAGTTATTCAACTCAGTGTTGGTGAAAGTGATTGATATTTACCTCACCTCGATGAATAATTGTTCAATATTCACGTCCACCTCGGTGATTGATTGTTAATGATAATTATAATGACGATAATAATGATAATAATGATTATGATAGTAATGATGATGATGATAAGATAGTAATGATGATGATGACATGATAGAAATGATGATGATGATGGTAATAATAGCAATAACATGGCAGGATTTGGTCTAGAGGCCTTCATACAATTTATAATTCCTCGTCATTCTAATCTTGATAGTAGCGTTTTCTTGTCGTTCTGATTCTCGATATATTTATTAGCTGTGTTTGGGTGAGCACCAACGTTAATCTATTGAGAAAGTGGAGGCCTTGGTATGTACCATGGAAAAATACCGATTATGATGTATTTTTGTTTCCATTTTCAGAAATACCTTATACCCAGGACTGAATCGAGATTACTCCATCCTAGACTTAGCAGACAGTATTAAAAGCCTGAACAACAATGGAACATTCCAATACATGATGGATGCTCACTCTAGGCGTCACTGGGGAGGGATTTTTGAAGCTCCCACATCTTACAGGTGGGGAAACAAAAATAGGATTGCAACAGACTGACTACTTTTACTGCACTTTACTTTGTATTGCCATGTACAGTTTTTCACGATCAGAAGCAACAACGTACCCTAATTTCATTCAACACTGTCTTATTCATAAATGTATTTCACATTTTTAATGAAGCTTCATGGCATCGGATTCTTCGCAAACCCATGTAAATCTAACGAGGAAGTTTGACAATTGGGAATATTCTTGGTGGAATTCGTTAAACAAGAGAATGCCGTGGTTTGACGCCAAAGGAACTCACAACATGGCTCTGCTGACCACATCATACAGCCCCACCCACTACCCGTCGGGTTCGATCATTTGGGGGGGCCCTGACCGGTTTCCGTCCGATTGGATTTGGGCTGGAGGGATGAGAAACCCTGGAGTAATCTGGTACTGGTTAAACGAGGATGATTGTGACGAAGATAGAAAACCAGGTATTACCGTAAATACAGCAAAGACCTCTGCTTCTATAAGCCCGATAAACTTGGCCGACTCGTTTTATATTATCAACGTCAGCACTGTTTCCTTTTTAAAAATTTCGTTTCGTTCCTTTGAGGAGGTGGATTTACCGAGGTTCGAAAATGTAATTTTTGGCGTCCGAGAGCTTATTTTCATAAGACCGCCAAACTAGCTGGCCTGAATGGCGGGGAAAATTTTGTCTTTTAATTTTAGGTGTAGCAATTGTACAGCTGTCACCATTAGGCTGAAAAGTTGCTTACTGCAGTGCCAAAAAAACGCGTTAAAAAATTGTCAGACCTTAAAGCGGGACTGTGACGAAAAACGTATCATTCCGTAAAACCTTTTTACAACAATATCTCGAATTCATGCGCTTTGAATAACATATGCATTAGATATTAGAAAAATCTAGCCAACGACCACCGAGAAAAGGAAACTTTTGCGTTGCGAAATCGCCCTTCCGCCATATTGCTGTTGAATAAAGGAACGGCAGGACATAGGTAACGCGTCATATCGCAGTGACGTCATCCAATCAAGACAACTCGAAGGCAAGAGAGCTTGTAGGGCAAAATCACTATGTCTTCAAGCGAAAGTAATCGATCATCTGGTTATTACTCCGTTCCCTCGATAGCTTCCCTGGAAAGTGATGTGAACAGTACTTTTCCTGATGAAAGAACCAATGTAATTGAGGAATTTGATTTCCTTTTCCTGTAGGCGATCTTTAAGTTTATTTATTTTGGTTGTCAGCGTGTCGATTGTTTTCTTCCGACTTCGGTTTTCGTCTCTCACAAACTTGCACGCGTCGAAACTTTGGTGAAGGTATAAGTGCGTCTCTTCCTAAAATGACGAAAATGGAGCATTTAATGATATAATTTGACTCTAATACGTTGGAATTCCTTGACCTGACCATGTGTTGTTTATTTGTACTGACACGATCGCGTGTGTTCGCATGCAGAATCTCTCTTGTTTTTAAACCAACGAATAACGAATAGTAAATGAAAGCTTGGAAAATTATACAGTTTTTGTGTTTTTTAGATATTTCCTACAGGTGTGGAATAGTTGAGAAGAATTGATTAGAAAAGTCGACTCACCATGCGATGATCCTTCGATGAAGTACTTGATGGTGAGGTTTACTCGTGATTACCGCGGCTTTCTCTCAAACTTTTCCAGTTAGTTGGTACTTATCCTGGTAACAATCTCAATGCCCCTTTTAGATGGCATGTCCTTAAAAAACGCGATTCTAAAAAATGCTCAGAAACAACAAACCGGCCTTCGGGATCGAAGTTTTTTCTGTGAAGTCCTACAAAGTTCTTCCACTTCGCGGCAAGGTTTTTGTTAACGGGGGAGTCGTGTAGAGAGATTCCATCTTGTGGATTTGATCTATTGCTGCATCCCTGTACAACACATCGAGGCGAAGGCATTGTGATATGCCAGCTTTAAAAATTATAATCGAAACATTCGAACTTTTCGCGTTTCTAACTCTTATAAAACCATAGAAATAACACTGATGGCTTTGACAACTTTATGTCTTGGTTGATTGGATCACGTCACTACCGGTCTCCCCATACCCCCTCGGCCAGATTCAGTACATTCCAATCGGATTCAACAGCCTCGAAAAAGATCATCCAAAAAATGCTACTTACCGTGGGAATTTAAACTCAAAAATCGATATAGTCATTCGTTAACGTTTTGAGATCCCAAACACAAAATTTCATTGTGATCGGAGAAACTGACGTTTTTCGTCACAGTCCCGCTTTAAGAGATCGAGCCAGCTTGACCGGCTCTGAGATCTCGATATGCGGGCTGAACGTCTAGAAAAGTTTTCCCTACGAACACTTCAACCCAATACTTTAGCAAGATGAACCAAATGGATTTGCGATTTGCTAATCTTCTTACCCGTTGTATTTTTAAAATTTGTTTTGGTATTTAGTAAATGGTGGACTAACCGAGTGGGGTGAATGGGGAAGATGTGACGAACTATGCGAGCCTGGTAAGCAGCAAAGGTACAAAACATGCACAAACCCCAAGCGACGTTGTGGTGGAAAACAGTGTGATCCAAACATTGCTACACAAGACGAGAGGAACTGCGTTTATTGCCCCGGTAAACACTTTTTAAAAGATTGAAAAGGAAAATTACTTAATTTATCTGCTGGGAGTATGCATTAATCATAATGTGGTATATGCCTTTGCTTGCGCGTGATTGGTCTAAATGCATGACTACATGATCAAATATGCAACAGCTAACGAAACTATTACCTGTTGGGTTAAGAAAGCTTGAAAAGGTTGTTAAAGCACTCGGCTGCACCCAATGGTTTACAGAATTTCAATTTGATCTTTCAACCTCCCTCGTTGTTTACTAACCGGTAAACTGATAGAAAGTGTGGTTTATTACTTAACTGTTCATTTTTAAAATAAGTTTTTTTTGCAATATTTGAACAGGCTGGCCCATTAAGCTGGAAGATGGTTTACACGTGGGCCTATATAAAGAATCTAAATATGTCAATATCTCTGTACGTATATTGCGTTCACATGCAGCTGTTTCGAGTAAGGTTGTCGAAAATAAAAAGTATAGAAGTCCCAATAAGTGTTGAGGGTAGTTTTGGGGTCATGGTTCCTTGACTTCAGACAGTTCAGGATTTCACGGAAATCTGAAAACATCTCTTTGTAAGGACTAAGCATCACGGGTTTAATGAATTTATTTATTTGTTTTACTTAAATAGATTATTATTAAAAAAAATCATTTATTACTGACACGTAGGGCACCTTTCGAGATTGTCGCATGCATTTTTGTCCTCTTTTCCGTCATCGTTTCACGAAACAGCTGTACGATATGCAAAAGAACTCACAACATAATTTACAGACTAAAGCAGGTATAATTATTGTGATAACTGGTGAATTTTTGTATTCAGAAAGTGGAATACGAAGTTACGGTGACTTCTGTGTGGCCCCAAACGAAGGAGGTTGTTCCCCTCCTGATGGCAGTTATCTCATATTCACCAAAAAAGAAGGCATGGCTTGTAATGCAACCGATCAGATTTTTGTTCTTGATCAAGATGGCGTTATTCATCACAAGTGCAGCAAGAAAGTGGTCTGTCCACAGGGTAATTTTTTTTTATCTTTTTACCTTTTTTTTTCTTCGGTTTGCAGTGATTTGTTGTTTAGAACATTTTGTTGGTTTTTCCCTGTTGTTATGGTGTCGTCAATAGAATGTAATTGAATTCCTATCATTGTTGTTGTTGCTGTAGCTGTTGTTAATGCTGTCGTTTGTTTTAGCTAGAATCATGAAAAAATGTTATGAGAAACTTTTACGTACTTTCAATATTTCCGTAGAATCATTTCCTTTTCCGTTTGTATATCAATTTGTACGCGTCCAAGTATTCCACTTGTTCAATTTGCACATCTCGAAACAATTAGCCCAATATTTTTAGTTTTACTATTAACAAATCCTTTTAATTTTTTAAGACCCAAAATTAGTTTGGCGGTTATTCTTTTCTTTTTGCAGACAATAACCCTACTTACTACAAAAAACTCATGCTGAAGGATAAATGTGATCTGAGTATTTCAAGGCACATGAGGTATGTTATCAAATTATAAACGTGCAGCCTGCAACATATTGTCCACTCGAGCCTTATATGTTAAAACCTCATTCATGTTGGATTCATCACTTTACTCCTTTTTCGCGCGTTATATTTCATTGTGTCCAAATTCTCGTGCGTTTACACCATTTAATAACACGCGTAGGCATTTGTTAAACAGCTTGCACGAGGGACAGTGCACTTTTCTCTTTTTAAAAACCTTGCTAAGGATCCATTCATCACTTATAGCCTGAGGGAGGGGGGTAAGAGTTTGTAAAATTTACCTCGTCTCCCCTCCCTCACTGGCAGTTTTTTGGCCGTAAAATTTATATGCTCCACCCCCCTCTAAACATCGTTGGCGACGACTGATCTCCCCTCTGTTCCCCCTGAAAACCATTTGATCCTCCGAAAAAAGTCCGCCACCCCTCCCCCCTTGTGATGAATAACGAATGGTACCCAAATAGTCTTCTATTAACATGCCGAGAGAATCGAATTCTCGCGCCCTCCTTTTCAGACACAAGATAAAACATTCTTGTTTTCAAGACTTTACTCAAGTGGTTAATATCTTCCGAGAGGAAGAATGAAATTATGAAAACCATAAAGAGTATTGTAATAAGTACAATCTTTCATTCTGATGATATAGCAAAAGAATGTTTCTTCTCGTAGAGAGCAATGTTAAAATCGGCGTCTTTCGTTTATCTCATCATTGCAGGTTGCCGGCTCATAATAACCTAAAGAATTTGAAGCACAATTTCTGTGTTCATCCAAAAGGTGGATGGCCAGGCGAGGGAGTATATTTGAATTACTGGCCAGGGTGTGGCGAGGAAAGGCTGAAACTCAACTTCTTTAAACTTGGTAAGATACTAATTCAAAATGTATTTGGTCAGCGGTTGTCTTACACGCATGCGCATTGAAAGGCAGCCCTACTTGAAGGGCCACTATGTTGTAATAAACGTGTTTGTTGTATTGTTTTAAATCTGGTTGAATTTGTCTCTCTTAGTTCGAACTGAGTTTTTTAAACAATGCTCGAAACTTACAATTAGAAATTCTCAATATAAATAATGACTTTCATTGTTCTTCTAGGTGCCGCATCGGCCTGAATTTTAGCGGGGAGAAGTTATTCACTAACCGGAAAAAAATATATAGATATTAGCATGGCGATATGTTACAACTGCCATGGAAGCTGGGGAAAACTCGATGATAGAAAATAAAGGCTCAAATTACAACGTTTGCACTCTGAATATTCACTGAAAGTAACAAATATGGCCATCACTCTTACATTGCACATGTACCTTAAAGATAGACTCGGAAAGTTGCATCTTTATCTACCACCTATTAAATTCCTTCTTTTTTTCGTTTAATGCCACGCCTTCATACCCAACTTTGCCTCTAACAAAATCACATCATTCTCTCTAAGTTCCAATAAAGGAGGCATACAAATTATATTGTATTCAATCTTTGATGAGAAGAAAATTGTTTTGATAGAATTCCTGTACAATGATTGACGGAATTCAAACAAATTAAGGTTTTTAGGAAGGGGATTTATAAGTCACATCAGGCCCATTGTTCGAATAGGAAAAAAAATCACACCTTCGTCTTTTTGTGCGTACGATTAAAAAAAAACGGCAAAGTCTTAATGCGCGCAAAGCACGCGCCTCGTAACACTGGGAAAAAAGTAAATATTATGCAAAATGTATCTTAGACGACAATTGTTAGAATTCGAATGACAACGAAATCAGTTTTTTTTAAGAGATTTGTCTACAGGTACGACATGTTATTGATTTAAAATGAAAAAGTTACACCTCAACCGTCCGCTATGTTGATTATTCGGCAAACCACCACAACGACATCAACTGGCAGAACAATAGCTCTCAACGCGTATTAAATCCTTGTACATTTCTTAGCCGTGCTCTTCAAAACAACTAAGTGAAATCACCAAAATTGGCTTGGTGTTGGAACAGAAAAGTCGACGGTATTTTTTAAGTATCCACTGAGAACTCAACACTACTCATACAATGAATTATGCTGGAGATGAGTTCTGGCGCCGTAAGAGACAGTATACACATCGTCCGCGAAATTCTTTAAAAATTTTAAATTAATTTTTTTATTGCAGTTTTCCTCGGCGTTGTCGTCTCGACTGCTAACGGTCCCTTCTAGGCGGGGAAATATTTTGTTTGATATGTTAATCTTGTGTGTTTAACTTATGGAGACCGAAATTCGGTTTGCTTAGCAATTTTCTGTACTGAGCGAAAATTATCTTTACCCTTGCTATTCTTTGTTCTCTCTTTGGTTGTATTGAATTTATTTATTAATTTTTTTGTCACATTTTTCTTGCAATGGCCATTTACACAGGTATATCTTTATTCAGCAGAGAAAGTTTCATTTCAGTTTCTTACTTTTGGTTTCACTGATCATACGATCAGAATACGACTAAACAAGACAATTTTCCTACCAGGAAGGTAAATAGCCAAAAAGAACAAAATGTGAGATAAAAAACATCTTTACCTGTTTTACAAAACTAAAAGTTTTTGGACTGAATATTCAATGACGTAGAATTTTGGGCACGAAACAATCTCAGAGTAAAGATTTATTACAAAAAAAAAAGGTGAAAAAGAACTTTACTTAAACTTGAGGCCCTGTTGGGGGGGGAGGGGAGGGTACAGATAATGGCAAGAGCTGTATTAAAATGGCTACCACTGACCCTTATAAGGCTACTGGAATTAAATTTCACAGAAAAATGTGACATCGTAGACGTCAGCAAAGTGAGGCGAACATTTCTACGTGAGTCGGAATTTTTTTTTGTCCAGTGCAGATACAAAGCGCGGCAGCTGTATTAGCGCCAGCCGTAGTGATTTCATTCCAATCTGTAACGTTGTGTGGTGTAAAAGAAAGCTCGTATTAAAAGTCATCCTTAAGTTCTAGCAGTTCCAGGTTTACAGGTCCAGCGATTCGGTGGAATCACTCTTCTGCCAGACGATGTCTGGACAGGGGTATATTCTTCGTCAGACTTGTCATCGCTTTCACAACTTTCACCTTCAGGCAAAAGATCTGCTATATCGTGAAGTTCGCCTAATAATTGTTCATATAACTCCTCAGAGAACTTTATGACATACTCTCCTTTCTGCAAAGCCTTCTCGTCAGCAATACTAATTACTGCATCGCAATGGACGTCGGACTTTTTGTGGTAAGTGAAGTGGGAACAATCTTCAAAGGTTGGCACGTAGACTTGGATATCAAAATAAGAGTACTCGTCGTTATCAGTGACATCTGTTTCGACCCATCCTATAAAGAAGGGACCATTGGTTGATACTACTCTGATGTGATCGTGTTTCACAACTAGCACAGCGCCGGATTGAAACAAAAACAGTACCACGAATCTCAGTAGGCGCAGTGCTATATTCAGAACGAGATATCCTTACTGGCCATTTGACCAAGAGCGTTTTCACTCCGTTGGTAGATTTAAAGATCAAACACAAGTTGTAACGATACTTACCCATTATACTGTACTCTCCAATGCCACTATAGAGTCTTGAAATAAGATTCTGCCACTCAGTTTGGCCACTTGCAATGTACGTCTTGTCTTCTCTAGACATCCCGATGTCAATACTGAAGTCGCCAATCTGACATCTCCTTGCGTCGCTTGAAAGCCTGTAGTCTCAGCGGAGATCTTTTTTGAGGGATTGAATATCTGAATGTTTCTCACTCAACGAAACAACGGTGTGCCGAAAGCTCGATCTTTTGTTGTGATTATAATTGTAGACCTTAATGGTCGCATCACATTTTAAGTTAACAGTAGGACCTGTTATCCCACCTGTAGAACGTGTCGACTGTTGCACTTCAGACTCTTTATCGTTTACGAGGAATGTCAACGTCTTTTGCACCGAACGTCGGTTTCTCGACTTGCCTGGCCTCTTAGGCTTCTTGCAACTTTCTTGCTCACTCTTGTCACTCTCACTCTCAGACTCTTCTGGAAACTCTCGCCTTGCTTTTTTTGTAATGACTTCTGACAATTCTGAAGAGTACCCATATTTGCCGTGTTTGCGTTTCTTCTTCGAATTGGAATCACCTAGAGATTTATGTTATTTGAGTGTTGTTAGATAACCCGAAAGAAAGTCAAAGCCGTAAAAAAAGACTCTTTTTGTATGACATTGTATGGGAAACCCTATCCCTTCCGCAGATGCCCCTTTATTTTCGTACGAACAGGGGAAGGGAGACAAGCGAAAAAAGCAGGATGAGGCAATTCTAATTATTGATATTTCGGAAATAAAATTTTGAACAATTAGCGACTTCCCCGGTTAAGATAAAGCACAGGAAAGCATTTACCAAACTTGAAAAATGTTAATTATTTTATTATTAAGGGTAAGACCAGCACTGTTTTGCACTTTTTTTAAAAATTGCCATACAGTTTCCCATCGATGTCATTAATGTCATAAATGTTTAGCAGATTTACGTTCCCATTTGGTTAGTGGCTAGGCACGATTACCAGCCGATCGAAACTTTAACAAACACCACAACACAACTGTCACAACTGACTGCTCCCGCTATAAAAAGGTCAAAAGTGGCTAAAACGGCTGAGTTGGCTGACAGCTTAGTCTGCCTCGCAGACTTTAGTAGTCTTGTCACGCAACGCTCCTCTTCTTGTTGGAAAACGGTCCTTTTCCAGGTTTCTTCTATAAACTGCTTTCTTTTGCTTTTTCCTCGGTTTTTTTCATCTAGATAAATCGAGCTACATCGTTATACCAGATATCTATTGTTCCATCTTAGGTAAACTAATTTTTTTATAAGCTTCAACCTGTCACTAGTTATTTGCCTGTATCTTTGTTTTCCCGACAAAGTTTATAATTTAATTTAATTTAATTTCTTATATATATTTAATTAAATTTCTTAATAAGTTCTTATATAGCGCATTAAAATTGAACTCTATGCGCTTTACAATTACAATTAACAAAATTTCAATAAAAATCCTATACATACAATATATTTCAGTTTCTTACTTTTAGTTTCTTTGGTCATACGATCCAAATGATACCCACGACACCTTTCTTTTTTAAAAGGTAAGCTGCTAAAAAAAATTCAATAACATAAATCTTCGTTAAGAATTCAGGAAATGATCTGCACGGAATTTCGGATAACAGAGTTTACAAAACTTGTTATAGTATTGGCTATGGGTCAAGAATAATCCTAAAAACTTGAGTTTAACTGATATCTTTTTGAAAAATGAATAGTTTTACGACAACTCCGCCGTTAAAGTACAAGATGTAATTACTAATTCTCCTTTCCAAATGCTATAAAGTTTAGTCTAAATAAGTTCAGAGGACTTACTGTTACATAAAGGGAACGAGGTCTAAGGAATAGTCTCTCTAATTTCCTCACCTGTTAGTGGATGATGTACTGATATTGTAAGAAGTTATGGTTAAATCAGTTCCCAGTTGTCATAATCTGGAAGTGAAATGGGTTCAACAAAAACGCCATGATCAGGTATATGAACAGGGAATTCTGATATAAAATCAACGATATCTATTATAATTCTATGGATATCATAAGTTAGCTGGAAAGACATGTTGTTCCCTCTTGGGTTTTATTTACGAATCGCTTCTCACCGGTAAAGTTCTCTCTGTGTTTACCCTATTTATTTGCGTTTATCTTTTTTTTGCAAGGAGCCTGGTCTATTTCAGTTTCTTGCTTTTGCTTTCATCAGTCATATTAGGTGCAGTGCGGTTCCCTGTTCAAATGGAAGTAGTTGAAAACAAATGATATAGTTATATTCCTTTCCCGTTTTTAAAAGCCATCTGCGTCACTTCGAATCAGTCACAACAAGTATCAAATTCAAGAACAGGAAATTCTGAGGTAAAAGCAAGGACCCATAATGTTGTGTTTTGGATCTATGAGCGAAACTGGAAAGTCATGTCAAAGAACTTCGGCTTTCTAAATCATTTTAGTTTGAAACCTACTTAAATTCACATTTTTTTGTGCTATCGGTCTCGCCAGTAAAAAGACGTGAACAACTTCAGGCAGCCGGGCACGGTCTTATATGGACCACGGCCCCGCAGTCAGAAATATTCAAATAGTTTACACTAAAATTTTATTTTAATTTATTCAAGAGTATCAGGTGTTTGTTTAGAAATCTCAAGCGATTCCGATTTTTCAACGGACGCATTTTCAGAGCTTTTGCATATCGTTCACATAAATGATTTCCAATTATAATTACAAATCGTGTTCCGCGGTTCACA